GGGGGGGGGGGGGGGGTGGCACCGAACAGAATTTGGGTGAACAAAATTTTGAGTGAGTAAAAGACTGGGTAAATGAAAAACAAAACAACGCAAGGGTTGGGTACTACCTTTATAACTTTTGCCATGAACTTGCCATAAATATTTGTCATATTTCAATTATGTACATTTTAATAAAAAAGATAATTAACGAGTAAGCGATGTAGCAACATTACGTCCAGGGAAAGTTTGGCATATACTATATACACTAGTTATACTAGGTATTTTATACATGGTTTTATACATGGTTTAATTTAGTAAGGAGTTGGTTTACCATGTCAAGTCCGAGTCAAATGTCCGGTCTCAGTTGTAGTTTATTGACGTAGTACCCTAACCCTACTCCTAACCGATTTTACTCGTCAACAGGGAAGCTCTGCTAGGCATGTCCCGATTGTGCTTGACAACTTTTGAGCAACTTTTTGCGTTTGGAGCAACTTTTTTCGGCTCGAACAACTTCAAGTAACTTTTTCCTTTTTGATCAACTTTTTACTACTCTTAGTAGTGAAAAATGGTCTGACCCCCAGCTTTAGCCTCTTCGGCGCTCTGCAGCTTAATGGGTTACCAAAAAATCTGACAATGTCTCTAGTTAACCCATTGCGCCCCAGTACTTGTTTTTTACTTGTTTAACGCCAGACGATTTTACTCGTCAACAGAAAACTCTGCAGCGTAATGGGTTAAATAGGCATGCATATTAGTTGTTGAAAGCACAAGTAAATGAAAGATCTGATGCCTTTTACAACAAGTTTAAAGAGCTCATTTCTGTACAGTACTGTACATTTATTATATTGTCGGTAGTGCATGGTGGGGAGGGGGAGAGGGGGTACTATCTTTTAGAATTCATGTGAGTGGGGTCATTGAATTTTTTTGTGATGCAGGGGGTGGGGCAGGACTTTTTGTTTAGTTGTTAATTGAATTTTACCAGCCCACCCTCAGTCCGCGAATTCAAATAAAACACCTCAAATAACATCGAACGAATTAACTGTTGCCGTAGGCATGCACCATGAAAATCACGTACTAGTTTCAACAACTACGGCATTGCACAACGCTTAAGACCATGTATTAATTTACATTTGCCTTTGAGGATTAATGCTATTGTTAAATTGATGACTATATTGCTGTTGCCCTTGTTTTTGCCAAACTCTCTAATGTCCAACTACATTACTACAACTGTGTTTATAATGGTATATGGGTTTCTCATCCCCATTTTTGTGTCTTCAAGACCCTTATGTTACGACATGCAAGTTTACGACACAGTCATGGAAATATAATATCGGTAGGCTAGCTTTTTCTAAAACCCATTGTGCCTTACTACGTGCATGATCGCTAGAAATAGTTGCTCCCCCCTCTCACAATGTTATTTAAAATCATGATTATTGGAAATTTGGCAACTTTTTAATAATTACGAATTAATTCCCATGGCTGTAGACCAGTTCCAATTTGGGAGATATATATAATTAGTAAATGTATGTTATTTAGCTGAACTAGAGATACACACAGTTGGGTTTAACGGAGAGATTTCAATCAAAGGAATAAGAATGGGAAAATATCTGGCGATGAACACTACAGGAAACGTTACTTTAGTGGTAAGTATTGTCAGAATAAAAGCTTTAAATTGTAATGAATTAATTTTAAAAACATCCAAGTTGGGAAATATCCAAGTTTCTTAGTGAAACCACTTGACCATAATCCTGGAGAAAAAATCTGCGACACTTCAACTGCCCAACATTCGTAATATTATCGCAAATTTTGAAAAATATCTTCCTCATGGGCGTATGGGCCTAATCTTGTTTGGGGGGGGGGCACAGTATTAGTTTGCCCGACCGTCGCTAATTAATATTTCTCCCCAAAATTTTTGGCGAGCGGGGGGAAGGGGGTCACCGAAAAAAATTTTCCCAGACATACCCAAAAATTTTCCCTAATATTCCATACTTTTCGCTAACATACAAAAAATTTTCCGGACGTATCAAAAACATTTTCCCTTATACCCCGTAATTTTCGCACATAAGATAATTTTTCTGAAATTTTTATGTTTTGCCCGAATAACATGGATTTCTGCCAGACCGAAAAAAATTATTTTTTTTGGGGGGGGGGCTGTGCCCACCCACCATTCAATGTTGATTGCATTCCCAGAAATCAATCGACGAAAGTAACTGTAATACGTCCAACATTGTTTGGGACGGGGGCGGGAGTAAATTATTCCTGTCTAATAGTGTCGCTGATGGTTTTCTCCTGGATTGTAGTTGAAACAATTGTGCGAAACCTTTCATCCCAAAAATCTTAATGTTAAGTAATATACTCAAAATTTAATCCCATTTCTAGACAAGTGAAACGAAAGACGCAGTGTTCATTGACCTACGAAAGATTACAACTCCATTTATCTCCATTCGCTCTAAGCCATATCCGTCAAAGTATCTGTATATCTCTGCATCAGGATCTGTTATGGGTTGTACGAATACGAGCAGTGATAACACGATGTACATGTTTACGTTTACATAATTTCGTCTAAGAAAAAGTATGGGATGGACAAACGTAATAAAGTATTCTTTAAAAATACTCTGTTTAAAATTTCTGAGTTAATCTAGACATAACACTATTTGGATGGACTTAATGGTTGTTTACATCTACATGGAAACCTGCATTTACGACGCGGCCGGCTCGACGCGCTCGCGAAAGAAATTTGTCATGCAAGACAAAAACTGTGAATAATTTGTGGTCCCAGGGGTATTCTCAACGGCTTTGTCATGCTCAGAAGAACGTTAAACTAAGCATTATCACGTCTTTCAAGCAACGCGAAGCTTATTGCGACACAAAAGGTGATACTTAATGTCGAAATTACAGCAAACATTGCATCGCTTTAGTCAAACTTAGCAGTTTGTACAGTAATGTTATTTGAAAATCGTCAAACATTTATTACAGTAATGAAATTGCTTAGTGTTCATTTTTTAGCTGAAATTCAGACCGCGTCGTTGAGCCGGCCGCGTCGTAGATCTTAAACTCTCTAAAGCCTGGCGCACACGATGCGATTTTAGTCGGCCGATAAAAATCGTTTGACATACCGATATACATCGGTATACTCCGCACACGATTACGAAAAAAATATGCTCCCTGAACTGTAGCCGCCATGTTGCCAAATAAATACAAGCACGTGATCACAGCATGAAATCTGATTGGTTATACTTAAAATTGCACCGATAAAAATCGTATAATAATATCAAAACGTTTTGATGTTGTCCGATTAAAATCGAGCAACAAAAATCGGTTAAAAATGACACCGCACACACAACGATTTTGTTAGTTTTAGTCAAACGATTTTTATCGGCCGACTAAAATCGCGTCGTGTGCGCCAGGCTTAATTCTACGACAACGCATGCTTCAGTGCTTAACACAGCTGCGAGTGCAGTAGTTCCCTTGTGTAGACTAGTTGCTGGCATACAGTTTAATAGGTGGTGCATTAAGTTGAAGAAAACTGGGTTTTTTCTTACTTGATAAAGTTACAAAAATTTCTAAGTAACTTGTAACTAGTTACAAAAATATTGAAGGAATTTGGATTATGATTGAACGCCTCTAAATCAGAATCCGTGCTGGAACGCAACGATTCCTTTCTCTGGACCACTTACGCGAACAAGAATAGTGGCGCGACTCGTCGTGCCTCCCGTGTCACAACGTGCCCATGGTGCAGACTATGCACCTAAGCCCTACAGCAACCAAAATCTAAATTTTCCAGAGCTAAATCCTTTGCAGACGACTACTTTGCAACGGCAACTAGTTAAATTTTTTTAAGTGTAACTTTTACCAGTAACTAGTTCCTTTTTTGGGAATGTAACTGTAACTAGCTCCAAAAAATGAGTAACTGTTACAGCACTGTGCATTGCAGCTTTAAAACAGCAAGTACATTTACTCTTTATTGCCTGATACTGTAAAAATTTTCTTTGCCTGGCGTTTGCCGTATAACGCGAAGCTTAAACTCTCTACTATTATTACTTATACGTACGTCAAATAAGTGTCATCCGCATACATATATATATATATATATATATATATGTGCTCGGGAATGTGAAAGACGATTAGTATGGTACGGTAACAGTACGTTTGCGATAGCATTATATCTGCTTCGCAGATACAAAAATCGTGTCGCGTTGTCGAATCGCGTCCGCACATTAATATTATCATAGGTCTAGCTAGATGCGCTGGAGTTAGGGTTGAGATTTTATACAGTGTTGCATTAATATAAAAGCATTTTCCTTGTTGTGGAACTTCTTTTTTGCACTTTGCATTTATATTTTAGATAGCCATAGAATTATAACGTGCAAATCAACGTGTACTAAACAGTCAATATTATGCCCGGGGTGGGGATATAGACCCAATTTGTTTGCCCAAGGGCCAAGGGTGGGGGCTTTAGCACAGTTCTTCTTTCCCTGGGGTGGGGACATAGCCATTTTCTTTTCAGAAATGGCTAATTCCCTGGGGGTGGCCCGGAGGGGGGGGGGATGGGCACCGCTGGAATTGACTGATACAATACGGTTTTAAGCAAGCCATAGCGCGACGTATACGGTATTTGCTCCCATGTTCACGTCGCCATATTCACTTCTTCCAATCACTCGATTACAAAAAAAAATCATCGCAAAACAAGGAATTCATGATTGATTTTTAAAAGAATAACTGTTAATTTACAAATCGATTGAATGGAAAGCAAAAAATCGTCAGCTAAAACAGCTTCTTGCTAACTTTCTGCTTTGTTTTAAATGTAAATGCAATTGGGCTTTGTTTGTTTCTGCCCGCTATTTTTTGGTCAGCGACAAATTTTCCACCAGGTTTTTAGACCACAATATGTCTGAAACGAGTTGCCATTTTAAGACAAAATTTACGAAAATAGATATAGCAGTGATTTTGGAATATCCTACTTATTTAAATGTGATTTTACTCGAAGTATTCTTGCCGAAAATGGCACATACGCACAGTCGCACACAGTGTAAAGTTTAACCTGGTGTAGTTTGAAACATACTTTTAGCTAAAATACAACTTGAACAAGAAAACCAACAATAGGGTCTCGAAAACAGTCGAAATTGTGCCCAAATTTGCATAAACAGTTCGTGTAAAAAGATAACTTTAAACTAGATTCAACCAACTTTAATGCGGTCGAATTTTGTGAGTGTTTGATCGCATATTTCTACTCAGAAATACCCTTAAAAATATTGTATCTGCTCACTTGTGTTCCGTGTTCAAATTTCTTGTGATTTCCGACTTCTATTTTTGATAAAGTTTAGAGAAATTCTCATCTTTTTGGCTGAAAATCTCGCGCAAGGTTCACAGAAGAACTTGACCCAAAACGTCAATGCATTCGCTTTCATGTCGTGCCAAACTTTCGTTGTAGATCATTCAAAAACCTCTTCTTTTTGCTTTTAAAACCTGCTGTGAAATCCCTCTTTGCAACAGTGTCGCCATTGTTCATTATTTTTGAAAAACTAAAATTTTAAACTTGAAAAACTTTGCGAGCTTTTGACCGATTTTCTCGCATGATACACCGTTATCCTGTGTACAAACGTTACTCTCGACTACAGAGGAGTTCATCTGAAAAATATTTTTTAATATATTGTTTGCATTGTTCCTAATGCTACTGTAACTTGGACACTCGAATGCAAAGTGAAATTCGTCTTCAACCGCACCAGTGCCGGAAAATCCGGATCAATAATTTGTGATTACTAATTCGGAATTTTGTGAACATCCGTCTCTGGGATGGATTTTTTATGGTAGTTAGATATTAGGGCCATTTATACGGGACAAAATAAGACGTGACTTACATAAGACGCGACTTAAATAAGACGCGAGTTTGTCGTATAAAAGGTACAAAATTCTTATATAAGTCGCGTCTTGGATAAGACATTTTAGACAAAAATTCTAACTACACATGCCCGAAACTTGAAACAACGTAAAATTATTAGCCTTGCTTATTCGAACAAAAACAACCGAAACAACATTACAGCTATAGCAAGTGAATAAGAATAAATTCGTAGAGAACCATTTATGCGATAACTCAGCTTATATAAGACGCGTCTTATGTAAGACGCGACTTATTTTGTCCCGTATAAATGGCCCTATTGTTCCAATTCATATTTTTTTTTAAATTTACAGTAAAATGATAGTTTTGTGGAATTGGTTATTTGTTGTTTCCAATGTGAAATATAGTTATTTTTTATGTTGTCTAGTATTAAATTTATTTTCTCATTTTCGATAAAATTCCCTAAATCTATTGGTTCCTCAAGTGTGGGATAATGGGCTGTAAGTGTTTTAACAATGTTAGAGTAAAACGATTTTTTGCCGTTCATGTATAGTTCTTTCGAGCTGTGGAAAGCTTGTTTTACTATAGACGAATCTGGTTGCTGGCATATAGATCATACCTAATTTTAAGAATTTTTTATCACTGCACATTTTATGCCAAAAATTTCCGAATGACTAAGAAAATTTCAGAATATTCGGAAATTTTTGGCGACCTCCTCCCCCCCCCCCGTCGCCAAAAAAATTTTGGTCAGTGTACCATTTTAAGGGTCAAAAATTTTTTCCGGACATACCAAAAGCCAGATATTAACTAAAAATTGCCTGAATCTCATGATTTTCGTACAAAAAACATATACTCTTATTTAATTCGATAATTTGGCAGTCATCATTTCAAATTCAATTGAATCATTCTCTTGTGTTAATTAACAACTTATCAAAGCAAATTTTATCACTGCCCATTTTACATTTTATCACTGCACATTTTACTTTTATCACTGCACAAATTGGTTATCACTGCACACTAAAATTAGGTATGATATAGATTTAATATAGTTTAGTATCCTTTTGAGCATCGGAAACAACAAAGGGAATCTACCTAATTCTCCTCTACTTGCAAAATTACTGGCTTTTCTGTTTACGCCTAGATAGAGTTTGCAGTACTTCAGGTGGGTTTTTTCTGTAGACGATTTATCCCATTTGGTAAAATCATTGTCGGTGTAAGCCCCCCATACCTCTGAGTTGTATAATAATATGGGTGAGATAACACCGTCGAAAATTTTACCAGCTATTTCTGGGGGTAGGAAGTGAAAATCGATGTGTTTGCGTATTTTATATAGGGCATGCATTGCTTGACTTGCCGGCTATGATCATCGTTCAGCATTGTTCGCATTCAAAACAAATCTCTTCATCGAGAAATATGTGCAATATATTTCTGGTGTTGTCCGGAAATAGGAAACCGGAAGTAATAGATAAATACGTCACATCGTACGACAGTGTGGCGTTTGTTTACATATTTTTGGACACTTTATATTTTTGGGTCGAAGACAGGGCGTGTATTTAAAACTACTGAGAAAAGCTAATAAACTATATCTATGTGCAGAGGAGGTTCGACAAGCAGGCCGCAAAGCATCATGGGTTCGAGTGCCCTAATTCCAGGCGTGGCTTCAATGACTCTTTGACTGTCGTGGAGTGAACATCTCTCTGAGTAAACAAATATGGAAGCATTCGAAATACAAGATTGTCAGGCTGCAATACTTCGTGAAAATAGCATGTTATTGCTGTATTGTTGCGATCCTCATTATGACTTGTGTTTTACTATACCAAGTTTACCTTACATTAAATTGCATGGGACGTGCTGTCATTTTAGCTTTATAAATAATCCGTCTGTCAAAGCGAAGGAATTGTGTTTATATTCCCAGTAGCGAGGCCCTTCTTTCTAAGTTGGATGGCGTTAAATATCTGTGTATCATCAACGTGAAAACAAGCGCAGTATTTAAGGTTAGTATATTACAATGCATTTAATACAGTTGACTTGTTATTTGGTCAAATTTCCGCTTTGCTGTTTTCAATATTGTACTGTAATTTTATAAATACACTGTCAAATTATGGCGTAATATTTCTAATAATTTAACCCTTTAGTTTGACCCTACTCCTGATGAGTTTGCTAACGAAAACACGTAGCATATGCTTTTGATTTTGGATTTCGATGTGGATCATATATTCACAGCGAATAGAATTGATGATGAACATTCAGATGATGAACATTGGTTCTCAGATGAGTCTGAAGGTATATTGTTATTCAGTTATTTGTATGGTTTTATAAATTTTTGCTGAGTGTAATGCCTGTTTGTATCTAGTTGTGGGTGGTTGTTTAAATGTGCAAACTGTAATTTAATATTTTTTTAATTTTCATCTAAATATTGCTGTTTGTATATTTTTGCTAATTTTAGAGATGACAATGTTCAAATAATAATTTCCTTGTATGATTTTGTAGAAAGGGATTTACTTGAGTGGTTGGCTGGTCTTGAACCTGTTCAAGATGTATATGATAATGAAAGAGGTGATCAAGGTGATAGGGCAGAAAGTGATGACAAGTTAAGTGATGAAGACGAAAGTGATGGGGAGGAAGAAATCGCCCACTCTGTACCATTCAAGTGCATCAGTGCTGCTCATGAGAAAAACTATTGACATCATTTGGAAAATAAAGGCATAATACCTCGCTCTTCATGAACAAGATAAAACAGTGAATTCAATGT